AATGGAATTAAACTCACTTTAAATAAAGGCTTGTCTTTATGGGGGACACAGGAAAATTAATCTGAATTACCTAAAGGTATGAATTGAAAGTGGATTAATTAAGGTATATTAAACCTCTATGTGAGGCTGTCTCACAGAATTAGAGTGGCCTTAATTCAATCTGTTTTAATTTACTCCTGTGACTGGAAATTCATTCTGAATAGGCTGAATTTTATATTTATTTTGTATGTGTAACCAATGAGAATGTGAAAATGAAAAATAAATTCACAAACACAAAATAAACAAAATGGATGAGAATTTAACCACACAAAAGTGAAATAAAATCATATACCATTTCACCAGCAGTTGTTACTCAATCATTGCATACATTCATGAGACCCAAAACCTAAAACTCATCTTGGCATTTAAAATACCATTCCTGGCAAATCTCACAGACACCAAGACAACAAAGCCTGGGAAATGGACTCAAAATAGTGGATCCTTCGTAATGCTGAGAGGTACCAGATATTTCAATAGTAATAGAGATGTAGCTGTGTTAGTCTAGTCTTGCTGAAACAAAAGACAGGAATGTTCAGCACTTTAAAGACTAACAAGATGGTTTATTAGGTGATGAGTTTTCGTGGGCTAGGCCCATTTCCTCAGATCAAATTGTGGAAGAAAAGTGATGTCCGGTAAACATACCCTATACCTCAGGTCTGCTCTACACCTACAATTTAGGCCTACCTCCATCTTTTAGCGAAAAATTTGCACTTATAGTTAAGCTGACTTAACCCTTAGTGTAACCACAGCTAGCTACCGCCTCTTGGGAGAGGTGGATTAACTACTTTGGCAGAAGTATCTCTTCCACTGATGGCACAACCCTGTCACTAAATGTCAGTGTGTTTGAATGCTGTTTGTTGGCACTTTGCTAACAAAATACTTCTACTCCCAATGTGCACTTGCTCTGGCAAAACTTTGGTGTTTGTAGGGGTGGAAGGAAGCGTAAGGACCTGTGAATGACAAAAATGTTGTTGAGCCACTGCAAGTGAAAACAGAGCCTACCCTAAAGCAGCATTGCTGCACCACTGCAGCTGTGCCACTGTAGTGTAGAGATATCCTCAGTTTGTTGTCACCCTCTATAAGACTGGGCTAATAACACTGCTCTCCTTTGTAAAGGGCTTTGAGATGTGCTGATGAAAAGGGAGCCAAGAGTTGTTACAGTTATCCGGGGCCTCCAGTTGTCCAGCTTTCTATAGGCTTGACTACCTCTCAAACTTAGGACAAATGTGGCTCCATCGCTCAGGGGCTCTGGAAAATGAATGCCCAAGGCTGTGTCCAGACTCAGGGTTTTTTTCGGAAAAAAAGTAGCCTTTTTCCGAAAAAACTTCACCTGCGTCTAGACTGCAGCTGCGTTCTTTCGAAATTAAATCGAAAGAACGCGGCTTTTCTTTCGACGGCGGTAAACCTCATTTCACGAGGAAGAACGCCTTCTTTCGAAAGTGCTCTTTCGAAAGAAGGTGTTCTTGAATGTAAATAGGGCTTCTTCGAAAGAGAGCATCCAGACTCACTGGGTGCTTTCTTTCGAAAAAGCGGCTTGCTCTTTCGAAAGTTCCGCGTGCAGTCTAGACGCTCTCTTTCGAAAGAGGCTTGCAGTCTAGACATAGCCCAAGAGAGGCCAGTAAGTCAAACTGAGCCCTCGTAGACACAACGCGAGGTCGATTCCATCAAGCAAGCACCCTCTCTGGACAGGGTGGATTTAGTACCGCAAGGGCAACCCCCGTCTGTGGTGGCGCAGCGTCCACACTAGGGCAGGCTCAGCCTGTGGGTCTGGTTGAGGGGGTCAGGGCTTCCAATCACAGACAAGTCCCCGGTTTCCATTGGTTGACAAAACCACTTTTCAACCCCCCCCTTTTTAAGAG